ATAGATGAATTCTGAGCTCTTGTCAAATCCTTTATATGTAAGTGTTTGGCGATAACGCCGTCATCAGACTTTCCAATTACAATACATTAGCGAGCTACAGGTACCACAATTACATCAACATCAGCATTTAGACCTCCAAAGGGTGGGGAGGGTAAACCTGTCGGTCCGGCGGCATAAGTGAGGAAGATTCTTTTTGTAATGAGCAGGTTTGCCTGAGCCCAGGGGAAGAGCTCCAATTCGTGAGCAGCGACTGTGAAAGGGGTGGCGCTGTTCGATTGGGAGAGGCATTTCGCACTTTTCCCCGGGCGGGCTAATTCCTTGGGCCACTTAATAGCTAACTGAAAGCTGCAATTTGGTGTGACCTGCAAACTCCCCTACGGAATGGTACAAGTAAGCCGCTTTGGATACAGGAATTAACAAGGTGACTAAACTAGTTTCGCTAAGTACCACTTGGCGACCCCACCAAGCCGAACGACGCCAAACGGGCTTCCGCACTTCGTGGGAAGTGATTCACTCGCCCCGAAGTCACATTTCTTGCTTCCTCTCACCTTTCTAACTTATTCTTATGATTTCCAGACGCTGTCACATTAAAAGAATTCAGAAAATGGCTCGGCACATTTAAAGGTTCGCTATTTTGGAAGGAATTAACAGCTGCCATATTACGTCAGCGCCTGGAGAAATTCGCCTTTATCAGTCAAAGGGTTGTCTCCTGTCATATTTCCCATAGCTTTTCAGACGCAATTGTTGTGCTTTAAGCAGGGTTTTAACGGGGAAGGGTACCATGGGACCGTAAAAGCCCAGAGAATGTGTACTGAGGAAGAGCAAAGAAGAAATAATGGACCGTGCAAATAAAATAATTTAAATAAGTGCAAAACCGTCAAAAAGCGAACAGATTCTTATTAAAAAGAATACTTGCCTCATATTCGTAATCACCATGAAATTTGGTTGCAGTCTGAGATAGAAATCTTCTGCCTGATTTCCGCTGCTAACAAAAGTGGCCGTTGAACCCGTTGAACTTGTGAAACTGCGAATGTCCTTACAATTTTTGAAACAACATACATTTGAAATTGTTTCCATCCGACGTTGTAACGCCGATGCGGCTTGTCGTTTAACCGTGCACCCTTTGCGTTCTTTCCTTCTCAGCGTCTCTCAGCAGTTTCATCTCTCGCCGGCTCGTTTTTACAGGCACATGTCCGCTTGCAAACGAGTTGGAACTGTCTTAGTCCTGGTTTTTTTCTTTTATCTGGCTTTTTTGTTCCCTTGAACTTTGCGTTTTTCTACTTTCAGCTCAATTATCAAGGTTAAGTTCACCTATATTTCACTGGTCAGTTCAGTTCCCATTCTAGGTCAAGGGGCGGAAAGGTTATCGGTAAATCGTTATCGATTGGTGATTTCTTCTTTTGTGTTTTTTCTTGTGATTATCGACAAGCTGCAGGCAGCCATTATTCCTCTTGTTCATAAGATGAACTGTCTCGGCTCATTTGTAAAGTGGAGGTTTCTACTAGGCTTATTGACCCGTTCCAGTGGAGCTTGTTGGAATTGAAATAGCTCTGTGATTAGGGAAAGCTAAGCGTTCCGATCACTTGTTCTTTCTCTTTTGGTTCTTACATTCAACGATTCACAGCTCGAAGTATTAAGTAGAAATTCCCGGTTTAGTGCTGTGCTGTTCGTTTAGCTCTTAATTAGCTTCCATTCAAGGCTGTGTTCTTATCTGATGAGACTGGAAATTGCGAAATTCGTAGTATCCCCGCTATAGACTAGACACGTATTGATTAACTCCACCCGTGTGATGAATCGGAGACCAATCGATAAAGAATTTCCTTCCTAGCAGATTCTGCGTTCTGCAGTTTAACAGATCAATGTACAATTTCCTTATCGCGGTTTCTTGAAATGTCCGTTCTCCCGTTCTTTTACGATTCTGGCAATATCAACACAGCCTAAGTCTTTACGTCCTGATTGTATTCGCCCCCTCCCCCTATCCTGAGTACTCATGGCCTGATGGTATGATATTTGTTGGAAAACCCAGCACAGTTACTCAAATCGGGAGGTACTGGTCAGTTACTATTACTACCACAATCTTCCGGAGTCAGGCCATATTTTACCGACGTTTTTACGGAGGCGGGACCAAGTTCGCTGGAAACTTGTCCTCAGGGGAAGTTTGACCCCCTTAACCTGAATATCACATCTGCATGGGAATATAAATGAAGGAAAGGGATATGCGTGATAGCGCAGCTTGCTGCGCTTGTCCTCGTGATAGTGATCACTTTGTTTAGCGCCAAGGCTGAGCCTGCACACCTGAGTCAAAACAAGCATGTGATGCCGCGAACGGATAGCATTTTTGTGCCAGACAAAGGTCATAATAATCACGAGGACATCGAATAAACCCTGTATGCAAGCTTACACCGAGTCCGGTGAGAAAGGTGGGACCCCAGATGGCGCCAACGCTCAAAATTGATGGGATATTTGTGATCAGATTATCGAGTTACAGTTATGGGCAACGTTTAGGTTTTCGAGTTCTTGGGATAGTACAGTAACGGTTTAATTGTACCCAGAAGGTGTGAAAGAGGTTTGTAAAGGAGGGTTTCTGAGACGAGAATGTCGCTTCTCGGAAAAAGATTCTTCTTTGAAGTCTCTGTGCAGTAGGATTGCGCTCATATTTTGTGACATCGGAGAATCCGCAAAAAAGATCGGATGCGAATCGATCGACTCTTCTCACGTGGTGGATCGGAAATCAGAAATGATACATAATCCTTCCACTCTTGGACATTTCGATCGTCCAAATTGATACATCTATAGTCTTGTTTTCTTGGCACGGCGCCAAACCCGTGGCTTACCAATCGTTGAAGCGGGTAAGCGACAATATTTGGTGGAGAATGACTGGACGTACGATTGATACAGTTTTGTCGCTTGCTGGCTTTAACAGTGTAGAAAACGGGCTTAGCACCGCGCCAAACTCATCCCGCCTGGACCTTTTCGAGAGCCCTGCAAGTCTTCCAATTCCACGATTTTCAGACACTCCGTCCTTGAGCTCAGTGTTGTTTAAACATTCTCAGAAAGTGTTAGAATCAGTGCAGACTCCCCAATCCGGCCCCCTTTGCCGTCGTCTCTAAAAACTGATGCGTAAACGGGCGGAGGAATGTCGGCTTCAGTTTGTCATTCCTGTCCAACACTTTCACCTTCTCCTTAGCCCGACGTTTCCACGTTGATCATTGATTGCTTTTTGCCGTTGCCTCATGTTCTGTTTTATTGTTATCTCTGGGAATATCATAAATTTTGGTCGTTAAAGTTTCGAAAATTGTGTAGTCAAACAAATTCTCATTGCATAATTGTTTATAAACTGCTTATACTTCCCCCTTGGTAGCTGTAAACTATTTTTCGCTTTGCCTCTTGGCTCCTTGGTCTCTCGCTATTTTGGAGTTGGAAAAAATGGTGCTGAAAACATTGGAGGGGACATTCGAAGGAGTTCTATGCAGAGTTGGAATCGACGTCAGCCGTAAAGTTCTCGAGTGGTTCACCCACTACGGAGCTTTTCCTGGGCCTAGACGACAATGTAGATCATCGTTGTGTGATATGACGAAGTAATTACGACCACCCTAATAATTTCCCTTTCGGTTTCTGTAGGGAACCACTTTCCTTCCCTCAGCGAAAAAGTCAGCCCAGCCCTGAAGATTTCCAGGTTACAGCTGTCCCTGACATATAAGCAATAATTTTTCTACTCCCTTTGACATATTTCTAATTCGCCGCAACTGTTCTCCCTTTTTCCAGTGTCCAGGGTATTGCTGGGTTTACCTTGAAAAAGTTGTGGAAGCGAAGGCGGGGCGGGTGTGGGGAGATCATCTAATCGATCATAATTCACATATTCGGAAAAGTGTTTGTATGGTGATCAGGACACATAATTGGTAGTGGATTTTGGTCGAGTCCGTACGACCCCTCCGCCTTCTTTTAGATGTTGGTACGACCCCCCCCCCTCTCCTGCCCTCAAGCCGTCGAGCGGAAGGGGGGGGGGGGGTTAGAGAGCAAGATATTGAAACAGTGCCAGAATCACGAAAACCTCCTCCCCCCTCCCAACAATGAGCAAGTACGACCCCCCCCTTTACAACGTCCGTGAAGCGAGAAAAATCAACTATCAAAATAAATTTTTCTCAGCCCAAATACGACCTCCCCTGTTGGGGATTCCCCAGCAACGATGTGCCCTGATGGTAATTTTGCGACACCGGCAATCAGGGGCACTATATAGCCAGCATGAAACCGTGAATAATCGTGAAAGTAAACAATGGAAGTAAATTTTTCCCAAAGGCAAACTCAACATTCTTGCCCCGCTACCAAGTAAGAAATAGCGGCCTGATGGGATTCTCCCAATGATGCGGTATCTTGTGAGGCACAAGTCCTTACCTTCATCACGGTAGTTCCAGTTCTGCGCCTTTAAATGCACTTTCCAAGGTTATTAGCACCAAGAACTGAATTTGTAGGCACCCCCTACGCTCGACCAGTTCGTAGGCGTTCTTCCTTGTTCGAGTGGTGTGGTCCTTACTCCCTAATATTTTTACTTTTTCGCGACTCCACAGCAAGTAATCATGGTGCTGCAGTCCTTATAAGTGGCAGTTCTGACACCTACCAAGTTATCCTACCAACCAAAGCTCAAAAGCTGTTTTCGTCACGATGAAAGCTTTGCACATTGCTCCTCATTGTCTCAGACTGTAGAATATTCAAGAAACGACTGCTGAGGGAAGATTTCGCTTTGCTGGCATAAAGCGAGCAGGTCCGAGCAAATTGTACAGTGAGATTGCCAGGGGTCCTTATGGGTGTCCTCCATGTTTTTTTTCTCTTTTCTTCCCCAGAGACTCACTTAGCGACCATAGATTTGTAATTGAATGCCTCCCTCCATAATATGCAACCGCGGGGATTGTCTTAAAGGCAGTTGGCACGATGATTGGGTGCTCGACCTAAAATGCTAGTAGGGCGCTATATAGTGGGGAAATGGCGAAAGAACGGAGTGAAACGGTCAAAATCCTGCGAAAAAAGAGCCTCCGTTCTCACTGTGTTAGTAATCAATTTTGGACGAGTTTCCCGAAGGCATCTTACCAATAACCGCTACCGAAGGTACGGCTGCATATGTGTACTCATATATCCATGCAGCATCACGGCCGCTTCATACCAATCCCTTCGCTTCATAATTTGCTTAGCAAATGAATCATTATGCAGCATCTGCTCTCGCGGTATTCCATCCTGCTAGGCGTATTAG